AAGTAGTTGTTTTTTTTTATTTAAAAATAAATAAATAAATAAATAAATAAAAAGTATAAAATTAAGTTAGATATAGGGCTAAAAAAAACTCAGAAATTTTACCCGTCCCCGAGGACGGCTTGTCCAACAATGCACCCGTCCTCCTTCGAAACTAACCCGTCGCTTCTAAATAAATAAAAATATTATTTTTTCTTATTTATTACAAACATTTATATAAATTACATAATAAATTAGTAGCTACTAGGATTACATTATACAGTAATAAAAGAAATACTAAGTTACTAATAGTAAAACCTAGTATTTCTTTTATGAAATAATTTATTTCTCTTATGAAATAATTTAAATGACGAAGGTCAAGTTATCTGGAATGTCAGTTTATCCAAGGGTACTGCGTTTTTTAAAATGAAACAAATATGACGTTTGCCAGTTCCACAATCAAGCCTATAATTTGCAGAGGTTTTTGCACAGAAATCTGAAAGGGGTTTTATATTTAGGTGGATGTTCATAATTGCGTTTAACGCTTACGTAATGTGTTTTTTTGTAAGTTCATTGTTGAAAAGTCCCTTTCAACTGCTGCAGTACTCCCAGACGGAAAAAACATCAATCCACCATGCGCAGTATGTTGCTGTACGGGATTTCTAGATTAGAGGATCATTTCAGAAGTGAGGCCCTAGACTCTTTTAAGATAACAAAAAGTGAAAGCGCATCATGAACATTAACGGGAAAATTGCCATCCGCGCGGACGTCTGATTCGAGAAATTCGTTGTCCGCGGGAAATTTTTGACTGCCGAGGACGGGCAGATATAAAATAAATTTTTGCTTTAACTTTACAAAAGTGAATTTTTTAAAGCACTTGTTATGTTTACAATGATAGTATTTCAACAAATCATTGCAAATGTAGGTCTTATTTGATTAGATGACTTTATCCTTCATAGTTCATATTAAGATACAAGATATTAAAGTCTAGTGAACATATTGTTTTTCCTATATTGTCTGATTGTAATGCACTCTGTTTGGGATCAGAAATAAATAGGTGTACTAGTTTTAACCATTGATAACAAAATATTCCTCAAATAGACTAACAACACACATTCTTAAAACACTTTCACTTGCTACTTGATATAAAAAAAAATTCATTTTTTCGAAAATTAACTATTTAAATCCTAAAAATCTATTAAAAATAGTATATTACATCTCCAAAATGCAAAATATACTTTAAACCCTAACAATTAAGTATTGGAAATTCAACAACTTTGTTCAAAACTAAAAGCAGTTCAATAGATAGTTGTGAATTGGTTAACGGAACAGTAAGCAAAAGTGCAATGAACTGCAATGAGTAGTAGCACAGGGCCAGAATCATAAACTTTAATGTGTAATTTTCTTTATATTCATGTTTTATAATAACCACATAATATGTTTCACTACTTCTGTTATCTTAAAAAGAACTGGGCAGAGAAAATCTGTCACTATTATCTTAAAAAGGACACTATACCATTGAGAAAAAAAACCAAAAAAAAAAACCCTTCAGTTAAAATGAACATAGAAAAACAGAGCTTCACACAAAACTTGATAATAAAGTGTTGTTCGCTGCAGGGTGGCTGGAAGGAGAGATAAAAATGTTCTTATTCATTAGAGTGGAAGTTGATTGAATGACCACACATGTGAAAACTGACAGCCCCCATTACAGATTAAACATGGTCTGAGTGAACCGAAATGCCTATAAGCTTCACAAAAAAATCGGTGACATTACTTTTCAGACACATCCTATAATGTTTATGGATATAGAGTGATAGCTTTAGACGAAATAATTTTTACAAGATTCAAAAATTATTCTATAACAATACCAAAAATAAAACCATAGAAAAGAAATTCTGGATTGATCCTTTATATAATTACTTGAACAATAAATTAGCTAAAAATTTCTAATCTAGTTTATTTGGAGAATTAAAAATAAATAAAAAATAAAGAAGGAAAAATAAAAAAGCAGGGCACCTGTAAGCATCGGCAATTTAAAAATATTTAATAATTTTAACATCTAAACAAGGTTTTGGATCTAAATTTTGAATTTTTAACCGAAAAGTTGAATATTAGAAGGAAATTTTAAATTTAGTGGATGAGTCATGGAAGATGAATCAAATACATGATCAATATCTATATAACTAACAATGCATGCTAAGTTCACAAAATTAAATGTAAATACAGATCTAGATGAGCAGAAAATCAGGAGCATCTTTTAATAAAGACTAATTAAAATTTTTGATGGCATAGACTATTTATACTAAACTTTTAATTTCCCCTCAATGCATTAACCTTTGAGTGAACTTAAAATTGTTCGTGCTTAAAAAATTTAATAAATTATTCAGGAATACACAAGAAAACAGTGAAGAGCAATATGATGATTCAAAAAGAAAAAAATATTAATTCGAAATAATTTACCTTTGCAAGCAGAACATAGAAAAGGGCCAAAGAAAAAGATTGTATCACAAACAAAAATAAATGATGCAACTGACATGCAGATTATTTAATGCTGTTGTAAAAGTTCTAACTTCTTCTGCTGTTATAAACTAACCATACCATAATATATATATATATATATATATATAGACACACAGCAAAATAAATAAATACAAAAAAATATGAAGAAAATTAAGATTGAGTTTCATTTCTGTAATTTTCCTTTGTTTTATCTTCAATTCGAACTTAAAATTAGTCACAAAGAGCTTTTTGAAAGCTGCTATAAATATACTGACATAAAATTTTTGATAAGAATTAAAGAATAACAAAAAATTGCAAATTACACAACAGTCACATATTAAAAGATCAGATTAAATCATTAAACCTCCAAATATTTATTTAAATTGTATTCAAATTTCTCTGCAAATCACTACTTTTTCGTTGGATAATATGGGTGAAACCAGTTTTTTTGGTAGAATACATACTGTGCATACATATAGTTTTATGACATTTAAATATTAGATTCATGCTCAAACTATTAAGCAAGAAAGAAAAGAACTAATTTTAATAGCCACTAATCAGTTTTTCTGTACAGTCATTCTTTGATAAAAATGAAGGGGAAAAAAGGCTACAGTACTAATTGCTTAGATTCTTAAAACTCTCATTTGATTGAAGTAAAAACATGAAAATTCAAAATACATAAGAAAATTTATTTCTAAATAAAGGAAAGTTTAAAAATAAAAATGAAGAAATATTTTAAAAAGCACACTGACTGTGTTTTAAATTCAACAACTTTACTTTTAAAAAAGACACACAGGCAAAGATTTCAATGAAACATGAAATTAAAAATTAAATAAATAATCAATGTAATGTATCAGAAAAACTGAGAAGGTAAAAGAATAGCAAATTGATAAACCAACAGTATCTTTTGAACACTGATTCACGGGGTTAAAAATATCAAATTTAATACAATGATTCATTATTTCACCATAATTTCTTTACACGGTGAAAATTATGGCAGTTTTTATTGCAAGAATTCTTAATGTAAATGAATCTTATAATAAGGGAGTGCAGGTTATATAGAGTTTTTATTAGATAAATTTAAACTACCAAATAAAATTAAACTTATTAATTTGGAAGATTTGGATTGAAAAATTGACTTAAATAGAAATCACAATTTAACTGACAAAACTCTGTGAAAATTAATAAGAGAATGATCCATTAAGAAACTACCTTGAAAAAATTGCCAATACCTAATTTCAATCTTTATCAATCAATATATGTAAAGTTTTATTTCATTAGTTTTTAAAAATTTTGAGAAGAGTACCATACATAAGTTTTGACAGTGTAGTTATTTTTAACAACCTTTACCTTTTTTGTTACTATAGCAAAAAAATAAAAAAATGATATAAAAACTGCAGTTGCCATCAACAATTTAGGTTAAAGTATAGAGGAAAATGATTCATTGGAAAAACAATTTTGTTATGTCAGAAGTTTGTGGAAATAACACAGAATAAAATTAGTTCTCTCGTAGGGCTTTTAGGATGGCCCCGCCCTGTCTGCTCTTTGATGCGCCTCTTTGCCATTTTCGTAAAAATAAGCCACCATCCACTGTCAATACACTGGCTTTTTATTCTTAGTCCACTTGATAATTATACTGTTTACTGTCAAAAATATTGATTTAGTTAGGATAATTCTCACGTAGTAGAATTTTTATAAGTTTTTTTTTTTTGGGGGGGGGGAAGGTGTATATAATTAATAAATTTTTAAAGAGATTTTAAATTTTTTAAATACATTTTTTTTAAAAGCACCGTTAAAAGTTTATTTTTCATAATTTTCAGCTTAAATTATAGAATACATTGTTTAGTTTATCAATTGATAATTTTTTTAGTTAACTTTTTCGAGATAAAAATTAGACACAGTGATTTTCGTTTATCTTTAATTATTTTTTATAAACTACAAATTCTCTTATTTTGTTAAGGAGTGAGAATAAATGTTTGAAATACACATAGAATAATATAAGAGGGTTATTTAAAACTGTTGAAAATTCAATTATTACAAACTTTGATTAATTTCATCAGTGGTAAGTAAGTGCTCTTTCAAAACTTAAAATGTCATTTTCTATGAGGAAGCACTCAGCCCCTTTTTATTCAAAGGAAGAAATATGTGCTGGTCTTTAATTTTTTTTATCCATATATTTATTCCATGCACTCTTTGGAGAACTTATTATGCCAAATAGAAATGTATGAAAATGGGAATAAAAGTTAAATAATATAAAACCTTTACATAGCATACAATTTTTTTTCAAACTTAGTTAAGGCAACAAATGATAGATTATTATTTATGGTGTGCAAGACTTATTTTTGTATTGATTTAAAATTTCAGTAGCTTATTGGGATTATCATTTTATTTAGTCTTGAATAAACTTTGCATAAAAATATAATGAAATAATAAATTAGCTATATGTAATTACTACAGACATGAAGATACAAAATTCTAATTTTGAAAGACATTTTAAGAAAATGCTGATAGCTGATATAACTTACTTTTGATTGTTTTGCTTTTGCCTTTCTTTTTCTTCTCGTAACCTCTCTTCTTCAAGTCTTTCTTCTTCTTCCTCTTCTAATCTTAATCGTTCTTCCTCCTCAGCTTCTAATCTTCTTTTTTCTTCTTCTTCAATCCTTAAATATATATAATAATCAAATTAAAATTTGTTACATGATATAGGAAATTATGATTTATAATGTCTGTATTGGTATAGAATTATAAATATCTTTAGTCAGAAAATGAATATTAACAAAAACTTAATATCAGAAATTGTATTATTACTTATAACTTAATTTTTTTATACAAAAAAAAAATCTTTTTATACATCTTATAGGGACCATGAGAATTTGTAAACACAACTTTATTAATGCAAAAGCAAGTTTGTATTAGATTCAGCACAAAATTCTAAGAATTTGATACTGCTGAGCTGCATTTCTACTTGTGAAGATGAGTGGAGCTAAAAGTTTTCTAAAATTACATTAGGAAATACTTTGGCTTACTTTTCTCTGATGAATGCTTACAAAGCCACTAAAACAGTTCATTTTTTAGTATAACAAAATTAGAATTTGAATAATTTTTTGGATACAGTTAAAAAGTTAGAAGACTCTTGGAAAGGATGTGTGAATAAGAAACCAAAACAGCGAGCTATTACCGATTATTTTGTAAGTAGTCCTCTCTAATTTGTGCAATAAATTAGTTTAATCCTTATAAGTTAGTAACTTTTCAGAATTTTTTTTTTTATTTAGAGTTAAAAAGAAAGAAAAAAACTGCCTGAAAGTAAGTACACTTTTTCAATTTCGTCTAAACTATAGTACTTTTTACTTCGTTTATAACTTTATTTTTTAAAGTTAATGGTTGTATTTATTATGAAATGTATAGTTATTAATTTAATATAAAGCATAAAAAGCATTTATTGATATTTATAACAGATAATAATTTACAAATTTATAATAGATAACAGATATAGGTAATAAACACAGACAATAAATAATAGAAAATGTCTGTGTAACATACAATTTTAATGAAAAAAAAAATTCTTAAATGATAAGATGAACAAATTGTCTGCCCCCCTTCGAGTTAACAATAACAGGTTTGACAGGAATTTTTTTTTATATCTTATGACTCAAATATTTTTCAACCATTATTAAATTATAAAATAAATATAATCTTGATATTCTTAAATAGCTCCAGACATAGCTCATCATAAATCAGCTAAGAAATGCAAAATTTTACAAATTTACACGATTTTGTTGCTTAACAAAGATAAATATTTTATCAAAGTAAAGGAAATCATTGTAGTAGATTTTATAAATATATGATTTAGACTTGAAATATAAGGTGGTTAAAAAACGAATAAAAACTTATGAGCAGTCAACAAAGTGATTTTGACCAAAATTTTCAAGATAGCAGTTATTTTTAATAAAGTGGAGCATCGTTTATACGACGCCGAAGGGACCACCGAAAAACGTCGTATAAACGATAACGTCGTATAATCGATTTTTACTTCTAAAACTGAAACTAACTCTGTTTTCAGTTAATTTTAATGTTTAACGGGCTGATTTACATAAATTTCTAAATTAGACAAAACAAAACAAACAAATGACCAAAGAAGAAAAATTGCAGTGAGCAATTTGAATGTATGATACCTTTAATTATATTTTCTTGCTATTAGTCTCTACAATGCTTTCAATAGCGAGTTGAACTTACTGCTTTCTATGATGCAATTTTAAATTTCTAATCACGGCCAAATCTAGTGGCTGAAGCGCACTTGTGCAATTTTCAGGAAAAAAGAGAGCTTTTACATTTTCCAAAATAATTAGTATCGATGGGTGCGCTGAACATTGGTCGATGAGTTGCAAAATTTTTCGTTTTTGCCTCTTCATAACATTGTCTAGTTTTTTCAGTCATCTAGTAAAAATTACGGTCGTCATCCACGCATTCTTGTTGACACCCTTTTCTGTATCATTCATGTTTGCAAATTCCGCCCTTTTTTAAAATACACAAGAAAAAATAAAAAATTAAATAAACGTGAACAAAATCTAAAAACCGACGTATAACCGATTCTGCGCGTTGTAAAAACGATATATTTTTACATTAAAATGAATAGGAATGATTTGGGACCACACTAAAACGTCGTATAAACGATGCTCCACTGTATATCAAGAGTTTAGATAAAAAATCTATTTAAAGCGTATTTATGAACAGAGAAAGTACATTTGTGTCTGATTTTTGTAGCTTAACATATTTAAGGATAGACTCTATAAAGGTCCTTGGATCGAGGACAACAACTGTGCCCAACAATTGGATGTTACTAGTAAAAATTCCTGCATTTTGTTTACACATGGGGTTTTTACTTACACCCATTTGAGCAAAAGTGTGGTCAGCCACTGTGGGGTTATCAATGCTGTGTCATATTGCATCTTTTTACATCGTTGTTTACCTTTGTCAAGGTGTTTGGCATTGACATGATGTGATTGTTTAAATACAGCTGTCATTATTATTTCAGTGCTAATGCTAGTGTTTGTTTCTGATTTTTGTTTTCTTCACAAAATATAGTTTATGTGTTACCATTTTAGTATTTATCATGCACAGCATGGTATTTATCATTAAAATCATGTTTGAAACATCTTGTACATGTCTGAAGTTTCAATTTATGTAAGTTAATCCATTCTCCAGCAAAATGAACTACATGTTCTTCTTTTAGTTAGTGCTTTATCCTGGTCCTAAATTATTTTCCTGCTTTTGAATAAAGCATGTGGCAAGCCAAAAACTTAAGTGAAATAAGTGCATGGCAATTCCAAAACTATGAAGAATAAATCTTAGTGCGTGAAAATACAATAATTAAATTACAAGTAATTCAGATGTTCTGTTTTTTACTTTGCACATGTTTACATATCACAAAAAAAAAAAAAATGAATAAAAACATGAGTAGCAAAATGTTGAGAAAGAGAGAGAGAGTTAAGCTTTATAACCCTTTTGTAAAACATATTTTATAATTTATAAAAAAAAAAAAAATAATTAACTTCAGAAATTTAAATTATCATTCAAATCAAGCAATTATTTATCTTAAGAAAACAATCTTTTAAATCAAAAGACACATATTTAGAAATAAAAGGAAAGAATAAATGTCGCTCATTTAAAACTGAAACCTTGAAATGAAGATACATAAAAGAATTGAAAGATACATAGATCATAGATGAAAGATACACAGATAGATTGGAAAGGAAATGAAAGAATAAATATCAGTCATTCCAAATTTAAATTTATAAACTTTTTGAAAGAATTAGTTTTGAAATTTATTGTTTAATCTTTTGTACAAATACATAATTATCTATGCCCCATTATTTTGCACAAGGTGATGATTCACAAAAGTGTACAATTATCCTTGAAATTTTATTTATCGTATACTGGATAAATAAAATTCTGAAATGTTAAATTTTTGCACTCTTAGTAGACATTTAGTATAAGACAAAAAATTAAAAAAAAAAGGTAGTAATTTTAAAAGAAAAAAACTATTTAGAAGAATTTACATATTCTACAATCCAATCGCGATGAATTAAAATAGTTTAATATCAGTTATTTTAGGTTAGAATATTGGTCAGTTTAATAAATTATTTATTTAAAAGCACTCACACCTAAATTGCAATAAACATAATATCTTAAATATACCTTTTTCTTTCCTTTTCTTCAAGATCACATTTATGTGCTAGAACAAAAGGACGGAAGAGATGGCACACTTCATTCAAAAGTTTTATATAATGGGCTTTACCATCTTTTTTTGACATATCACCTAAAGACTGCCATGCTAGTCTAAAAAGAGTAAACAAATATTTTCACTAACAAGTATAAAACATTATTTTCTCATTTAAATATCATAAATAAAGCATGCCGAATTCTTAAACAATTATTAAAAAAATATATATTAAACAATCTTAGCAGGTTCTAGTGATAGGTATTAGTTGACTTATTTTCGATAGAATATTGATAGAAATAAAACTCACCCAAAAGCGATTTAAATCACTTGTTGGTATTTTAAATTGCTTTTAATTGTAAATGTTATTTAAAACAATATTTCAAGTGAAAAAATCAAGATGTTCATGAAAATTCAAATATTTAATTTCAGACACTTTACATGATTTTTTAGGGGTAAAAAAAAATTAAAGATAAATTAAATCTCATACATGGGAATATATTGCTTTTAATTGTAGAAGCAACATGGAATTTTTAATATTACTTTTTTAAAGTGTTATATTTTGTTTAAATACCTGTAGCTATCTTATATATAGGAGAGATTGGGGTAAGGCAGGAAACTTCAATTATGTCAAAATTAGTTCTGTTTTTAGTGGACAAACTCTGAATTACACTTCAGTAGTCATGAAGAACCTACCATATTAGCGTGTTGTTGATCAATTCATGACGTCTGTGTTGATTTTTTGCTTAACTATGTCAACTCTTCAAAGTTCTTTCATTTTTAGCTTTATTTATTGGTCCTCACAGTTTTAAAAATTATTTTCCTTTAACCAATTATACGTTTATTAAAGATTCATACCCTAACAAACAATAAGAATTTAGTCCAATAACAGCACTGTTCCATTTCGATAACCTCCGTTCGTGGGGTCAGACCGAGTACTAATTGGTTTTTCTCACACGCCCGCGATTTGTCTTTCTGCTGGGCCCACCAAAGCTGCAGTTCAACGGAAGGCGAAGATAACTACATAGCAGGTCGAAAAAGGGGTATATGAGCCCCAGGACAAAATTTATTGTGCCCCTTCCTCAAAGAACAAAAAGCCTTATTTTCATATTTTGTAGAATTTTTGAAGACCCTATATGCAAAATTGTAATTTTTATGTAGATTATAAAGAATTGCATTGTGATTTAAGAAAAAAAATCAATATACACTATAATTTTTGTGAAAAGTTTTGGTCAGGCCCTCAGTAGGCTTGGGCCTCTCCTTCCTTATATACGGCCTTGACAACATCACATGTAAATTACATGCATAATTTTCTTAAATTATAGCATAAAATAAATGTCTGCTACTTAATACCAACAGGCATTCGAATCGTAGCCACCCAGTCTTAATCCACTTTCCCTATCTATTTCATAAGTAATAATACTTTACATATAACATTTGTAATCAATATCATATAAGTATGAAAAATATAATTTTACATCTTTTTTCTTTTTTTACTTATTCAACACACAAATTACACATTTTCTTCCATGAGGAACACAAGCATACATAGATTGGGTAGCCTGGTGTAATTCCTGATTCGCTCATTTCTAGAGTAAACAATCATAACCAAAATATTATTATTATTATTTTTTTTAAAAAAAAAGAAGTCCTGAAATTAAAGACAGAAATCTCAGAACATTTTACTGAAGAACAACTCAATTTTCTTAGAACTGCAATTAGTTGTTTTGTACCATATAAGATAAAACACTTTTTAATCTGTTAACAATACTTGACATTTCAAAGATGGAGTCCAAAATATGCATATTTTACAAGATTCTCCTCCCTCTCTTAATAAGCAATAAATTGAGTCGCTTTCTTTCTATTTTATCTAAAATAGTGCAAGCTTCAGGTTACTTGCGTCACAGCTATGGAAAACTTTAAAATTAACAGTGAAGTATATCAGATGTTGATCCCGAAGGGTGCACTAAATATTGATCACTGAGAAATTTCTTGATCATTAATATTTCAAACTATAAATACAATTGGAAATAGAAAATAAATACATAGTTTTAGATATTAATATTATTTGTTATTATATTTGTATTATTTATAATATTATATTTATATTATTTGTAATATTTGTATACATAATTTTAGTTATTAATTTATAAATATGTAATTTTAGTTGTTTTAAGTGTCAATTTATATTCATTAATTATACAATTTATTTTTACTGTAATTGCAAGATTTTATTTTTTAAAACTGTATCCAAACAAGAAAAGAAATGTATTCTAATTTGCATTGTTTCTATTTTGTCTGACTTTACTAGTATCTTAATTCTATTTTTATAGAATTTTTTTAAATAATAATTTTAAAGCATGTTATGTTATCCTGATCTAAAGAAACTGTAATCTTAAGGGGGGAGGGATAAGCATTTAGAATCAAAAATTAATGAAGTTGTTTGAAAGAATGTAAAGGAATATTTAAGTGCTAGATCTAATGTTCAAGTTTAATGTTCTTATGACTCACAAAGAATCATAGAAACATAATCCAAGTAAACTATTTCATCTGCAACTTCAGCATTGTGATCTTTGAAAAAACTTTAATTTGAAATTATAACATGATTTGTTAATTACTATTGTAATATAACCATTTAAAAATGCATTTTTACTAAAAAAATCTAGGTTATCACTAATTTTTCCAAAAGTGATCAAATCCAGAAGCAATTCTTGATCACCTAAAATGTAAAATATTTTAATTTCAAGGAAAAGAAGGTCACACATCACTATCTCATAAGTCAAACTTTCCTCAAAAATGAAATTTTGAGTTTAAGTTGTTTTTTGCTTTTACAAACAGAATACTTGCATTTTTTAAGCATAGGAATTACCCCGGGTCATCCTATATATCTTTCATTTCAAATCTGTACTAACAAGTACAGCATAATAATAAAGCTTTAGACTATATTTTAACTACATATCCTTTTAAAAATGCTAGATTTTAAGGAATGAAATAAAAATTTAAAGAAAAGTGCTAAAATGCCATATATATCATGTATATACATCATTCAGTTCTAAAAATGTGTATATATCATTCAATTCTAATCTGTACTAATAAGTACAGCATAATAACAAAGCTGTAGACAATATTTTAACTACACATCTTTTTAAAAATGCTAAATTTAAGCAATGAAATAAAAATTCAAAGAAAAGTGCTAAAATGCAGAATTTGTAAAACATACTTTCGATCTCTTCCAATTACATCTAAATAACCAACAGCTGGATATTTCTCCTCAATAAACTTTCCATGCAAAACTTGTTGGGTATAGGCAACTAGAGATAACTTATCTTTGTAAGACAATGGAAAGGCCTTGCCTTCTTTTTCTGGAGAAAAAAAAGAATAAATATTACACTTTACTGCTTGTAATAGAAATTTGAAGTAAGTAAAATAAACTTTCATTGAAATTATTCTGAAAGTAATTCTGTTTAATTGAACAATGAAAAGTCCTTTCAACCAAGCGTAAAATATTCATTGTCCAATAAGTATGGAAACAGTAAAATATTTTGGGAAATAAAATATCAGATTAAATATTTAAGCTTCAAATACTTTAAAAAGATAGAGCTTATTGATACCTAATTTGACTCCTCAAAACTCAACCCTATTCTGATATGGTGGGGAAAACTTCAAAATCTCCAATTTTTTTGTTTTAATTGCAGACTTTGATTATCCAGGATACAAAAAAACCCCACCCAAATTTGATCAACAGGAATTTACATTTTAGTTTAATAATGATGATGCTGTTAATCAACAAAAATGAAAATTTGATACAAATTGTNTGCCATTTTTAAAAAAAAAATTTTATTGTGTTCAGAAGCTCTCGCGGGCCGCACTTCAGTAGTCGAAGGGCCTCATTTGGCCCGCGGGCCGCAGGTTGTGCACCCCTAAGTTAAATAATGATGCTGTTAATCAACAAAAATGAAAATGTGATACAAATTGTTTAAAATTGAGATCACTAATGAAATAAAAGTCAGATCAAAGATATAAATCTTGAACTATTTATTATTTCAAAAATCTATACCTAAAGATATCAACCCGTACTCTCAACTTGGTGTAATTAACAATTCAATATTAAAATTTCAGAAATTTTTTTAAATTACCACATCTAAAATGAAAATATAGAGAATTTTTATCTCTCAAAACTGGATATCTAGACTAGAGGTTATTAAACTTTTTATGCTCTGGAGCAACTTTAAAATTGGAAATTTAATGTAAACATTAATATAATATAAATGAAGCATTAATTACTATATACAATATTAATGTAAACAAAAATTTTATTTCCCAAAGCAATGTAAAATACTTTAATTGAACCACAAAATGGTGTTAACAAAGTACGGTGATTGCGTTATCTAACAATTAGACTTAAGATTTCTCTTATAAATTTGTTTTCACTGATTTTTAATTACAGAAAGTGAAAATACACATGGAAAAATGAATAAAAATCAGGGTTGGCAAGATTTTTCTGCAGGTGGAAAAAACCATGGTAATAACCGGTAAAAACAGGTTTTTGCCAAGCAAAGTGGCAAAAACCTATATTTTCCAAGATGAGAGGACAAAAACACATTTTTGATATAAAATTATTCCTAAAATTGAAATACACTGGTTATCATAAATTAAGGAAAATTCACAAAAATCGCGATAACTCAAGAAATTACACNTTTATTATTCCATAATTAAATCATAATGTATTAATATATCATTTTAGTAGTTTAAAGCATTATTGATCGGAAAATTGGTGATTATTCTCTTTTTTCCAGTGAAATGAACTTATTTAAAATTAATATAACTATAATTTAAAGCATAAAATATCTATCAACATCTGTAGTCAATTAAAATATACAAGTATCAATGTAATTTTTAAATTTGCGCAAATTCAATACTTCCTTCATCATCAGAATAAAATTTGTGCTGTCTCAACATAGCATAACAGAACACTAGTTTTGAAACATTATTTACAGTCAACCTAATCCGAATTTTAGAATGTACAAATGAAAAATTCGAAAACACTCTTTCAATGGCAGCACTACTAGAAGGACATGAGTGTAAATGAGACATTAATTCACAAAATTCTCTGGAAATTTCACAAGAATTTTGC